GGGATTCAGAGAGTCTTTGCACGAGCAATCCAAGAACTTCCAAGTTAAGCAATATGGCATTAAATATATATTACACTGAACCCTTCTCTCTTTCTTTCACTCTCTCTTTCTTCCTCACTCCCCATTCTGACTGCCCAGTGCTCGTATCCGGGTATCCTTGTTCATTTTTTTAAAAGATGGCATTAAAATTCAGTGCACTTCTATTACGCACTTTTGCTAAGATACACAATATATGCAAGCAATTGTGCTTTTGCAACGGTGGTTTTGGTAAATATATCCATGTTTGTGTACCTGTTCCCCACTTAACATAAGAATTTTGCAATTGGACATCCATGTTGCAAAATTTAGAGAAGCGCATATTTTTGACAAATAGGTGAGTTTGGGTCATGTATTAGCTTGAAAACATGAAATTAGGTGACTTTGGGCTCACAGGTGAGCCATATAATATTTTCCTTTATTCCTAAATCATTGTTATAGTATTATTGCATTGAATTTATATCCCACCTTCTCTTCTGTGGAACCCAAAGCAACTCATGTACCTCCATCTTTTCCCTCACAACAATATTCCAGTGCAGTCATTAGGCTGAGAGTGAGTGACTGAATCCAAGTTTCCCAGGGACTAAAATCCGGGTCTCCCCAGCCTAAAACCCTCACCACCACACTAGTTCTCCATTCTTTCAGGTTCTTAACCCTTAAATCTGTCATAAACCATGGTGGATTTAAATCTACCATCTTGCAGGCAAAATATAATAATATTTCCACAGAATCTCTTAGTTTTCCAAAGGGTATCCAGGGCAACTCACCACCTTTACCTTCATACACATACAACCTACACATACACATACAATCCAAAGTTCAATTTGGATGCCACGAAGTACCTCCTGATGGCTAGGGCCCCGAGGGCTTCCATGGGAGGTGGTTGTGGCCCCACTGGTGAGGGTCTTCAAGGATAGGCTGGACATACGCATGGTGGGCATGTCATGAGCAGAGCTGGCTGGAGCCGGGGGTCAGACTAGATGGCCCAGGAGACCCCTTCTGACTCGCTCTGTTTCTATGTTTCTAACCTTGATGCAACAGAAGGGATGGTGGGTAGAAAGCACTTGGAACCCTTTAGCCAGAGGTCCCATATTTAGGAGTTGAAAATTACAGGTATATTTCACATCTGATTGTGCAGCATTCGTGACAACCATCTTCTTATATTATTGTGGTTCTCCTTCTGAAGATAGTGAAGTGTGGTTAGAAGTGAGGTGATTTGATCAAAGTCACCTAGCAAGGACACGATCCCACTGGTATTTGAACCAAAGCGCTACCTACTCCTTGGTGAGTGAACTCCGCCCACTTGGACCACACTGGGAGCATAATTCTTAAATGAGTATGTGATATACATCGCTGAACCACAGATAATTACAGTCATTATTTTGAGTGTTGTCAACCTTGCCAATCAATATTTCACTTAATTGCTGGGTGCCAAGCACTAATTACCTAGGAAGTTATAGCCAAGCTGATGAAATTATTCCCAGTTAAATTGCATTCACCATGTAGAAATGTTAACCCAAGTGTTTGCAAGAAGTCCAATGTGGAAAATGATGATATGAAATATTAGCAATAGCTAAGGACGCTTATGGAGAGACCTGGTTTCTAGGTGCAAAACCTGATTAGTGTATTACCAGAATAAGTAAAGACTGGAATATTTAGGAGCACCTTAACCAGCTTTCCCAGTCACTGGGGTCATCAGCTGGCATTCCCTTGTGGTTCCATGTGGACCTATGACTTGATCAAGTCCACCCCAAGAAGCATCTTCAGTATAAAGCCCCTTGATCTGAAACTCTGTACCTCTTAAGTTCAGCATCATCTTGCGTGTGGTGTTACCTCACATTTTTTTTATTTATTCATTTTATTATTCTATTGTTCTATCATTTATTTTATTATTTTTATATGTTTTGAATAGCCTCCATAGATACAGTGTGGCAGCCATTCAAGAAACCAAATTCATGAATACTAATCACACTATACTATGTGTTTGTTTGCATTCTTAATGAGATAAATAATCCAAAAGTAATCATATTCTTAGGATGAAACCATCTAAGGCCACTTTTCATGGCAACAAATAGCTCATCCCTCTTGGCTGAACACATGAAATGGCTGTGCGCTGAATCAGGCCACTGGTTGATCCCTCCCATGTCAAGACTGAGATATGTACCCAACTTGATATAACCAAGAAATGGAGGGAAACAGTGGGCAAATGAATGGTGTGGGTGAGTCATCCACTCCATTCAGCTTGAACAACTAACATGGGACATCATCTCAAAATGAGTTCATCTTTGGAGGATCCCCTCCCCAACTTTTGAATTCACTCCCAACATCAATCCCAGGAAGGGAGAGGAGATCATTCATATCTGTATGGGAGCAATGGTTCTAAGTGTGTAAACAACTGATCAGAAATGACAAAAATAATCTTTTATCACCCATTAAAGCATATGTTACTCTTCAGTGTTTGTTGTTTGTGTGTGTTTTAATCAGTTTTTAATCTTGTTTTTTCTTTTCTGGCAATCTGCTTGCTTGTCCATTGAATGAGCAAAGCAGCTGATGTTTAGCAACACAGATGTCACACTCAGTGTCAAAATGAATGTAGTAATCTTGGATGCTCCAAGAGCCTGAGGAAAGTCTTCAAAGATAGTCATCTGTTCCATCCAAAATATCAAACCAGTCCTAGGAGTTACTTATGAACTCAAGGAGTGAGTCTTTTCTAAAGGCAACAAGGTTTCATCTCTCATTCAAAACCAAGCTACCTTGAAATTGCTTTGCAGCAGGAATAGCTGCAACAACATGGTCGTGCAGTGAGAAAAAAGAAACCTCACAGCTGTTGTAAGGGTTGCAGCCAAGCTCAGAAGTAATCATGAACAGGGTGGCAGAGGATGCTTTCGTACCTGCTAATTTAAAAAATCCCTGTGATCCGACCTTGTGTGCCCTGGTTCCACTGCAGCAATTCATGTCAAAACACATGGAGTTTTCATGGGAAGTTAATTTTAAAAAGAAAATTCTCAGGGCAAACAAAAATTTAAGCCTGTTAAAGTTAACATTCAGGAAGAACTGATGATATGATTGGACAAATGAGAAACTGAAGGAAGCCAAAACTGACAGATTCACCCATCACAATGTTGAGAACCATTGCCCCATAATACCTTGTGTCTGCTGAGTTGAGCATTGATTATGAATATGCCCCTCCATGATGACTACTAGCAACATGCCAGCTTGGACTAAGAAAAACTAGGCTGAAAAGTCTACAAAGCAGAATCCTTGTTTGGGTGTTGTTAAGTCCGACAATTTCTTCCTCCCCATAACAAACCTCAAAGGCTCATCAAAAGGTAGGCATGGATTGCTTGTGGCCCTAGGACCATCATCAGCCAAGACCCAATTTAACATCCTGGTCCCCCAATCCCACTGGAAGCAAAGGGCCAGAATTCTTGCCCAAGTGAATTGGCTCCTTTTCCCAGGGTGGAGGGAGAGGGAGAGGGAGACAAGAGTGTGCCAGAAAGACAAAGAAAGAGACTGATGAAATATTGGGTGGATGTGGTCCAAGAGAGTGTAATCATTTCGATATATAAGGTACCCCAAATCCCAAAGGGATGCTACTGGGCGTTATAGATGGGCATGGTACTGATTACATGTATGTTGATGGTGGCACGTTGATTATTGTAAACATGTTGGGTTTGCTTGTTAGCGGAGGAGTTAAACGTGAGATAAGATTAGGCTGAGAAGGCTGATCACTGTTTCTGCTTAAGTCCGGGACAGAAGGCTTATTTAATAGAGCTGTTGCAGAAAAAAATAATATAAGTTTTGGTTATTTATGGAACTTTGGAATCATTGTGAATTGAGTAATTTTGCTCTTGCTGTTATATGCCATCAAGTGACCTCTGACTTATGGCAACTCTATGAATGGAGCCCCTCCAAACTTCCTGTCCACAGTATCACTGTTCAGCTCTTATATATCCACAGTTTTGACTTTCTTCACAGAACCAGTCCATCTCTTCTTTCTCCAAGTAATGTAACAGGAAGTAATATTTTAGATGGAAATATTTGTTGTATCTGAAGAATTATTCACTTGTTAAGAGATATAGGGTATTTTGCACTATTCATTTGCAAGGGTTAAGCAAATACCTTGGTGGCTATTCGCTAATGAAACTCAGACTATCTAAAGAGAGGGAAAAGAAGGTGAAAGAGAATCCAGTTTTGGATCTGACACATACTCATGGCTCCATCTTCACCTGCTGTCAGAATAGGGGTCACAACCTACAGCCTGCCCCCCATCCCAGTATCTCCAACAGGACTGAAGGGGAGCTGTACCATCAGCATCTCTACCACTGGGCCAAAATTCCCATGTTTTGGATGATGGGTATCATGCAATGCAATTTAGAGATCAATAAATACCAGAGGGAAAAAAATGGTGTGATGCAAAGGAAGTTTTAATAAGAAGGACATCAGTAATGAATAAAGGGAAATACTGTTTGTTTTCAGCGGAAGAAACACTGAGAAGAGACAAACGGATTTTGATCTGCCGCATTGGTTCATTGTCTATGCAGAGAAAAATGATGGCTGAAGTCTTCAACGGGCAAGTTGAGTTTTTCAGGGTTCTTTTCCCATGTACTCTTTTCTTTATTTGTGAGTCTTCCTTTAATATAGCAGGGAACAGAAAAAGGGGGTGTTTCATCTGTCAAACACTAATAGCCACTCTCTTCCCTCCATATAAGTACATGTAAATTTATTAGTTTCGTGGCTTGGAAAGGAAATTATCATTAATTTATTTCTTCCTATGTGCTGAACTGGGGAAAGAAAAAGAATTCCGACATGAAACACACTGAAGATTCAGTCTATGAAAGTGTTCTTGGCAGGGTTCAGAAGATGCGCTCGGTTTTCTCAAGCCCATCGTCGTAAGTGCAAGTTTCAATTTCATCTTTGGCTTCTGCGGTGGTCCAGCGGTTCCTGAGCGATTTCTTCTGGGTTCAGTTACAGGGGTAGCAGGCGGTGCTTGGCATCAGTGCTAAGGCTCCACCGTAGGAGCCACCATAGCCATATCCACCATATCCACTGTTTCCTCCATAACAGCGGCCAATAGAGTATCGGATCCTTCTGCCACCGTATCCACCACCACTGTATCCACCACTGCCATATCCTCCACTACCATATCCTCCACTGTATCCACCGCTACTGTATCCTCCACTGTATCCACCACTACCGTATCCACCACTACCATATCCACCGCTGCCGTATCCTCCACTGTATCCACCACTTCCGTATCCTCCACTGTATCCACCGCTACCATATCCTCCACTGTATCCACCGCTACCGTATCCTCCACTGTATCCACCACTGCCACTGTATCGGCGACTGCCACTGATTCGGCGACTGCTGCTGTATCTTGTGCTTCCTCCACCTGTCAAACTGCCCCCACTGCCTCCTGTTCTGCTAATGCCATAACCACCCGATCCACCACTACCAATGCCGCCACTCAGGCTGCCTCGTCTTCCACCAATGCCACCAC